GATGTGCTGTGCACCTGCTTTTCCTGACCTTTATTCTTTTCTCCTTCAAAAGTAGTGACATGATAAAGCATATTCCTAAGAGTCTGTGTGCACTTTTACTTATTTATTTATTTTTGTTCTGATTTGGGCTCCTTCCACAAATATCTTGAAAACATAGCCTTACCTATGTGACTGTTTTAAAATGCTTTTAAATAAAGTTGTAAAAATGATAAAGAGTTCCGTGTGTGGGTATGTGTGTGGTTGAAAAGCTCCTGGTCATAAATTAATAGAACAGAAAATAAAATACAGTTTTGAAATTATTTTACGTTGGTAAAAATTATGTGTAGACATTTTAGAAAGAATGTCATATCCCCTATAACTTTTTCAAATTTTATTGAATTTGACATTCCACAGTTTAGAAGAACTTAATTTATGAAGACACGGACAAGTTTGGTCATAATGACAGAATTGAATTGATATTTTTTTATACCATAGATCAAACCTGTAATAGTGATATTGGGGCTGAATTGAGACTTGTGAATTTGAATGTTAATAGCCACATAGCTCAGAAGAAACACAGATGATTCATATCGTTCTGTGGACTAACATTCCCTTGAAAAGCTGTTTTAACTTAACAGTGATAAACAATGACAATTAAAATGTGCTCTTAATTATTGGACTGGAAACATAATTGTCTTGCTTTCTTCTTTAAGAGCTACAGATATCTTAAAAGATATAACTTATTAGACCACAGTTTACTGCCTTTAATCTAAACTACAAATACTTTTATTCTGAGTTTCCCATGACTACATGGGATATTATTTAATTTAACATCACACAGCAAAATATGAACTTCAAATGATAATCTTGCAAGATTTTATTTGCTTTCATTAATTTAAAAGGAAACTTTGTGATATAAAAGTGTTTCTTAAACTCCTGCCAATTAAAAAAGCACACTAGAAAACTCATCTCAAATATAATCGAAATGTAACTCTCAACAGCTGAAAGCTGCCATTTGGAGCTCTTTGATGAGGCTGTAGAGGTGGAGTCAATTTCACCTTTTGACAGCAATAGAAATGTGGCTCAGAAGTTTTCAAGTCGTAAGGTATGTTCTGGCTTTATTTTAAAATGGAAAACTGTCAGCTTATTTTACAAATGGACTTATATTCAATTTTAAGTTATCCTTTGTCTAGTGTTGATGCAGATGCTACTTTTTCTTTTCCAACATTTATGATGGATTATTAGACCAACAAGGGCTGGCCTAGTAATTGAACAAAACCTTAAACCACTACTTGAAAAAAGCATATTTGGGATTTTTAATAGACTTTGGAGTTTAATGAGCAGTTGTTCAGTCTTGCTGCAGTCTTCATGAAACAAGAAGTTTGGATTTGTTGTTTATAAAACAATTGCAGGCTGAGAATCCTGTTGCAGTTTTCAGCAAAGTTTAATACTATTCTAGTACCTATGAACATTACCACAGGGAAGTCCCTAAAGAGGCTCTGAAACTATTTAGTAAGCTATTTGGAGATAAAATCTTCCCATATCATTTTCTTCATATTCTTGGCTCCATATTTAATACAGCACTAGACACTTAACACCTATTGACTTAATAATTTATTAAAGACCAGTGGTTGATAGAAATACCATAAACAGAAAATGAAATCATTCATTCATCCATCCAACAAATAATAATTGTGCTAAACCCTGGCTGAGAGCTGGAGATGCAGCAACAAGCAAACTAGATAGGGTCTTTGCTCTCATAAAACTTACAGGCAAAGAAACCAAATTTCCTCTCCTTATGGGAAAAATTTTCTATTGTACCTAATGGCAGTAATTTTGAAATAAAATCTCCAGTTATTAGATAAACTCTTGTCGCTGATTTCAAGTTGAGTTATATTTTTGTAATGTCAAATACTGACTAGTAATAGCCATGCACTGCTGTTTATTTCGCTTACTCTATTGGAGTTCTTCGAAAATTAGCAGATGATTATCAAATACTACACATGTGCTTACGAGTATATCATGTTTGGGATTAGCTCTTCTTCACCACAATCTTTTTAGCCTTACCTGTTTAACAAACTAAACAAGCTTACCTGTTTAACAAGCAAAATCCAAACCACAGGTCTTGGTTTCTTCTTATGCTCAGGGGGAAGTGTTATGAAATATTCTTGAATTCTTCCTTTCTGGCCTCTGCCAGGATTTTTTACTTGGTTACATAAGCTCTGTGTGATAAGGACTTCTGCCCTGATCAATGAGAGCAGCCTGGCAGTGATTAGCATAATCATTAGCACACTGATAAAATTACAAAATTGCGTTTGTATATATTATGTGCTTTGCATTGTGCTAAGCATTTTACATGCATTATTAAATTTAACTCTTAAGATAACTCTATGAAGTGGCTATTGTCACTCACATTTTACAGATGAGAAAACTGAGCACAGAGAGGTAACTTGACCAAGATCACAAAGCTAGAAAAAGTTGGAGAAATATATGAACTTCAGAGATGATGCTCATAATCACCTCTTGCTTGTTGAGGGAACAAGATTAGGGAATATTCCTCTCTCTTACCTGTTGATCCTATTAATTCCAGCATTCTCCAGGAAGTCATTTTAGGTGTTTTTTCTCTGTCCTCTTTCACAGCTCCAAGAGATCAAGTGAGGTTAAAATTCAACTCACTAAGTTCTGAAATCAGCAATTTTTAAATCAGAAACTAATACAGCCATAATAGTAAATTTAAAGAATAAAAGCCTCTCAAAATAACTATGGGGTAACAATATAAAATTATAAAACAGGGCTAACTAACATAACTGTCTGAAATATTCAAGAGATATAAATAATGATAAAAGAACTTCCAACATTTTTATTTACTTCTCTGTCCCTGTCCAAGCTTTTAAGTGACTTCTGATGTGTGTGTGTGTGTCTGTCTGTGTGTGTGTGCAGTTCTGTGCACAAAACACGAGCATTTAGGTCCTCATGCTGTGAAAGTGGAAAAGTTAGCTAGGATTTTTTTCATAAGAATTTTACAATAGGATGAGAGTGTAACAAACCTTGAATAGAACGTTTCTTCTTGATTTCAATAAGCTGTATTTGTGAGAAGCATAATAATGTCTTCATTTGCTGGAAAGATATATTCAAATATAATGGCATAACGACTCTTGAATTTGACTATGAAGATAGAAAAATCTATTATAGTGATGTCATGCCCTGATAATATGGCTCTGTCTCTAGACGCATTCGTTACCTGCATCTGTGACCAAACTATTGGACAAAAGGAGATTTTTAGAAGTTTTAACTTGATGCATGGGATAGTGAATGTTCTTTTACAGATTTTTTTTTTTTTTTTTTTTTGTGAGGAGGGGAAGGCAGTCAATGATTTCCAGTTAAAGCAACTTCAGGTTCTTAGAGATGGGCACTTTACAACTGTGTTGTCCTAGATGGGTCCTTTGAGAAGGAGCAGAGCAAGGAGGATGCTGGTCTGCTCTAAAGATAGGTTTGCAAATAGAGATAACCTATTAACTCACCTTGGAGGTGCCAAACACTATGATTTTAATGGCTCTTGGCATGGAAATTTAAGAAGCTCTGTGGCCAAAGAGCTTTACAAATGCCAGTATGGGTGCTGATCAATACTAGTGCTTTTAAAATGACAGTTTGTGCTTTTTCTTCTGGAGAGAAGACTTGCATTTGATTCAGTGTCATCTGGGGGTAGGGTGAAGGAGGCAGCTTTTTGCCTAGAAGAACTTTTCAGATAGACATAGAGAGAATTTGGATGAAACAATTATTAGTATTGCCTAAGATACAGGGTGACAGACTATTTCTGAACATAAGTCCCAGAGGGCTCCTGGCCCCCACACTGACGTTCTTGGTCTGATGATGCCATTTAACCTTTTGTGGTGAAGCTTGAGCTTTAAGAGCAAAACATAACTGTACCTTCTTGTCTTGCTTTAGACCAAACTTCGAGACATAGTAATATCAGAGACTGTTTAAACAGAGCAATAAAACAACACACTACTTTAACTAAACCCAGCTTGCAGGGTAATTTTAAGGCAGCCGGATTGGAGGAAGCCTGTGCATTAATTTACTCTAATAGCAATGGGGGAGAGGAGGGGAAAGAGGTTGAAAGGCATTGTTAGAAAAAAAAAGAAAAAAGAAAACCAAGAACTCGTGCTCAATTTCTTTCTGTCTTTTTTTTAAGGTGTTTAACACTTGTACAATTTGGTCAAATTATGGGCAGGACAGCAAGAGAAGCTAGTCAGTTTTAAAAGACAGAGAGCATGTGAGACAGGACATGATTACTTTGCTGAATCTCCACTTTTTTTTTCTTCCAAAAGAGACAAAGGGAAATAGTTAAGAACCAATAGTGATGGCAAGGAAGCAATCATTGAGTTGCAGGATACCTTTGTCTCTAGGGGCACGCAGCAATTTTTCCATGTCTGCCACTGAGTGTCAAACCTTTTCTTTTCTTTTTCTTTCTATTCTGGATGGCCAAACTGATTATCTAAAATAGAAAATTAGCACACAATGGGTTTACTCTGCGATACCCCTTATGCAACTAATGGCAAAGCTTGTTAATTGGTTGTAAATGCCAGCAGGTTGCCAGGATAATACTTCAGAAATAAGCGGGTATTCTGATAATTACAGCAATCTTCATCTATAAAAGCTTAAGTAGATGAAGTAGTGGCTGGCTTAAAACCAAGATTTATCCCGCTGCACTCACATTAAAAGAAAAAATAAGATGAAAACAATAATGTAACAAAACAATTATATAGCAGGAAGCTTTGTAGGTTTTAGAGATTGTGAAAACTCAGAAAGTAAAACAGTGCTGTAATAACCAGTTATGGAAAAATAGGCCATTTACATTTGTGTATAATTAAATAGTAGGCTATGCAATTTCACTTTTTAAAGTAAACTGCCTTTTCCTTTTTTATAGGGCAACGTAGCCATAATTGCTGCATTAAAGCTTTAATGAAAGAAAAAAGCAGCAGATCAAGATGACATGTAACGTCTACATTTGTATCGTGGCGCTTTGCTTGTTTAGTAATGGGAAGCTACTGAGATTAAAATTGCAGAATTCTTCATAGTTTGTTCTAAAATTGCTATAGGAAGATCATTCAGGGTCTAAAATATACACAATTTATTTTTCCACCTTCAATCTGCAAGAATTTAATGGCTTTCATAACTAGTAGGTGGTTGGAGATACGTTTTATATTAGAGAGAGAACTACTTCAGATCATAAAATTTATCAAAAGTGAATAGATCATCAGAATTTAAACCTTAAAGGACTTCCTTGGTACATTAGAATATTGTGCCATATATTATATTATAGTTAGTGTTTAACTTGGTGCAGTATAAGTTTTCTTATTCAAAATGTCAACAGGTTGATTTGTAACATATATCTTTTATGTTTTGCAGTTTCTTTATCACCTTCATTAACATTAGGATCTGGTGCAAAAGCCAGTTAATTCACATAGAAGAAGGTAATGTTCTGGAAAGCTGTTAATTGGCATGTGAGCTGATTTATTTTATTTTACATATTTTAAAGCAATAGCCTCTCCCGTGGGCATCTTTCTCATAAGTTTGACCTATTCTTCAGGTGTTACGCTCCATATAGGTTGATTATGTTTTCTGTAAACCATCCTTGGCAAATAATGTAAGCAGAGATTGGAAACCTTCATTATGTGTTACAGTACTGAGCACAGAGTATGAAAACATGCTAAAAACACACCAAGCAAAAAGACAGCAGAATACCAAGGATATTAGTGCCAGAGGCGGGAGAGAGAAGCTTTTTTTTTTTTCTTTTTTTACATTTATATAAAACCTACATGATCTTATTCTTCCTTTTGTAAAGAGAAGAATGCAAACACCACTGCTCGTGAAAGAGAACCTAAGAATGGACACTGTAATATAAAGGCCTAGAAGTCTGCCTTTTTGGGTTTTCACTTTAAGAAAGTGACTCAGTTGCTGCAGGGTTGTGTTTTGGTGTTGGTTTCTCACAGGGCTGATGAAAGGCATCTTTATCTATGTGCAGTTCTTCTGGTATGAAAAACTTTAAATACATAGCCTCCTGGAGTGACTGGCTTCCTCAGAGTAATCAGAATATGGCACTGGCATCCTGGCTGGAAGCGCGGGTAAGCAGAGCTCCCGAAGGGCCGTGGCACCCAGGAAACAGAGCAAGTGCCAGGCAGAGCAGCCTGGGTTGGGATGGGAATGTCACCATCTCACAAAGAGCATCTGCAGCCACTTTTTGTGAAAATCCTACCTGAAAAGGAGGCAAGGGGAGGGGAAAGGAAAAAGAAGAGTTTTTAGAATACATGTGGAAGAAGGGATCCCCTTGCCCCCCTAAGTCCTGTGGGTGAAAGAAGAGAGCCTGTTACCTGTGCTTGGCTGCCTCCTTCATCCTGTGCAGACTCGATGTGACAGGACTGGCCCTGTACCCTCCCCAACCAGTAATTCATGTCTCTTCACGGCTGGCAGTTGTTGCAGCACTTAAGATGGGCACATAAGGCATTTTGTTTTAGGCGAACTGAATTAAGATGTTTTCTTTAATCTACATCTTTACATGTGATCTGAACAAGCAGAGAAAATAGCAGAGAGAGCACTTCTTTCCAACTAGCTTGAAACTGGCAGAATTTTTTTTTTTTTGGGGGAACTGGGTAGGTGGGGGCCAGGAGGTAAGCTTGCAAAGGAAGAAAAACTAAAACAAACTATTCAGAATTAGATATAGTGGGGGCAGGGGAGGGGAGTGGGAGGCATAATAATCCAGGACTGTCTTTTCTTTGACTACCTGAGACCTTGGACCCAACTACCTGTATATGTTGACATTTTATTGACAGGCCTGGTAAGGCAGGGATCATAACATGGATCATCTCTATATTCATGGAGAGAAAACTTTTTGAGAAGATAAAAAAATCTTTAAAAAATCAAATGAAAGCAAGGGCACATGAGATAATTTTTTGCCAATTGTAAGAACTTGTGGAAATTATACATCTAATATGTTTTTACATTTTTTGAAGGAAGAAAAATCATTTCTCTTAAGTCTGTTTTGTGGCTGGCCTAAATTCTGTATTCTTTTTAATGGCAGGGCATAGTTTTCCTTAGGGTAGTGAAATGCCCTTGTGACTTTCCTGAAGGACAAATAAAAATAAACTAGGTAGAGAATTTGGTGTTGTACAGTTTTGTCTTTCATATACATGGTGAATATTATCTTTTCCTTGGATGCTTTAATACTATCTTGGTTTAAGTTACTCGTTCTTGAAGGGCCATTCAAAATCTCTGACATTTTTGACATCTTTGAGAATTGTTCAATATATGAGCCATGTACATAACTCGATCAACTTCTATTTGAACTTTTTTATGCTACCAGGATATATTTTTTTCTGTCACTTATGCTTTGGTGAAGTACACACTGCACAGAGTAGGTATTTGAGAAATATTTCTGAATGAATTATTTTTAACTCAAGAGTGGAATGTTTGTGCTGCTTTACAGGGTTTTAATGATGAACATATTAAATTGATAAGCATTTTTAAGACATATTTCCAAGTCAGTTTGAGGGTTTAGTACTTAAAAGGCAAAGTTCTTTGGCTAGAATTTTCTCCTAGGAGAGGGGCATACTCTACGTGCATACAGAAAGTATAGTATGCCATCCTGATAGCATTTCTTGTGAATCGTGTGTTCATCCTAACAGTGAACATTTTCTCTGTTTCTGTGTCAGTTGTCACTAATCAGTTATACATCTGATGTGCAGATCCTTCAGGGAATAGAATTTAAGTCATTTTGGCTTTAGCACATATGATATGCTTGTACAGGAGTTTACCAAAGCCCCTTTTGATACATTTTCAGAAGGGGGACGTGCATATGTTATGGTACCTCTACAGCAGCACTGACTGAACTAGCTGACAAGTGACAGGAGGGTTTTTTCCCTCTTTGGTATTTCATGAAAGTGCGCACAAATCATAACAAGTTGCCTCTCTTTCAGTAAGACAGGGAACATTTCCCTTAAAGCACACATGGCTATATGGTGTGTTTGTGTACATGAAAATTCATGCTGCTATCAATTTTAATTTTGCCATTTTTGTTGTTTTTAAATTTCAGGTTTGAAGCTTTTGAAGAGGCTTAAATAATCGCTTTCAATTTTGTCTTGACTGATTTTTGAAGAACTCTATCAAAGTCTTAATGGAAGACTAAAGTTCTTCGCCACTGAGAAGAAAAGCTTGGTAAATAGTAGACACCTACCGTATGTCAGAGAGTCCTATGTTAGATGATCCATAGCAGGCCATGGTTCACAATAATCTGTCTGAATTTTGACCCAGGCTTTAAAGCAGTATTAACAGTAGCAACAATAAAAATAAAAACCCTTGCTTTGCTGTTTCTTCATTGGGTGCAGGGTACTAAGCTCTGTGTTATAGGACATTTTGTGATAACTATCACAGGAGCATCTCCAGTTTAATGCAAGTAAAGCAGACTGGTGGAATGGAGAGGTCGTGGGTTTTGAAGTCAGCCAGATCTGGGTTCAAGTCCAGCCTTTAGCACTTATGAGCTGTATTTTCGCCCTGGGTCTCAAATGGAGAGGAAGTGGGTTTTGAAGTCAGCAAGATCTGGGTTCAAATCCAGCCTTTATCACTTATTAGCTGTATTTTTTGCCCTGGGTCTCAGGATCCTCTAAAATAAGGATCCTGTTGTGAGGGACCAATGCTTAAATCACCTATTGTATTATTTGGCACACAAGAGATGCTTAAAAAACTTTGTTCTTTTTCACTTGCTGCTCCTTCCTGACCTCAAATAGCAAGGGATTCCATATAATTCTTTCTAAGTAAGTGCCAATCTGTTTTTTAAGGTAAAGTAAGATCTTTAGCAGATAGGTTTCTGGACTCATAGAAGCTGACACCTGAGATAAGTGCCAGTGAAATGATCTGCTCCAAATAACTAGTTAACTACCATATTTGTTATACAGTCATACACTACATAATGATGTATCGGTCAATGATGGGTTGTATTTAAGAGGGTGGTCACATAAGGTTATAATAGAACTGAAAAACCCCCACTGCTTGGTGATGTCATATCTGTCATAACATTATAGTGCTGTGTTACCTTTTCTGTCTTTAGATATGTTTAGATACACAAATATTGCCATTGTATTACAATTGCCTGCAGTGTTCAGTGTAGGAGTGTGCTATACTCCTGTACTGAACTATACTGAGAAGTGGGTTTGTAGCCCAGAAGCAATAGGCTAGACTATACGGTCTAGGTGTGTAGTAGGCTGTATTGTCTAGGTTTGTGTAAGTACACTCTATGATCTTCGCACAATGACAAAATCACCCAATGACACATTTCTCAGAACCTATCCTCATCATTATGTCATGCATAATTATTGTGTGTATATATTCATATATGCAGACACATTATATACACATACACACACACATATTTATGTTCCTTTTTTTCTGGTCAGCAAATATATATGTATATTTGTATACATATATGTATGTTTATATGTATACATATGTGTGTATATATGTATACATATATATGTATACATATATGTGTGTGTGTATATATGTATATACACACGGGAGTTCAGTGGCATGATCTCGGTTCACTGCAACCTCCACCTTCTGGTTTCAAGCGATTTTCCTGCCTCAGCCTCCCGAGTAGCTGGGATTACAGGAACCCACCACCATGCCTGGCTATTTTTTTTATTTTTAGTAGAGACGGGATTTCACCGTGTTAGCCAGGCTGGTCTTGAACTCCTGATCTCGTGATCTGCCCACCTCGGCCTCCAAAAGTGCTAGGATTACAGGCGTGAGCCACCATGCCCAGCCCCCAAATGTATTCTTTAGAGTTACTCAACCTTTCTATAATTATCTGAGATAGTTACAAGTACACAAACACCAAATGATACCTTTCAATTACCTGTGGATTTTTCCTTAAATGAAGGGACAGTCTTTTAAAATAATGGAATTCCGGGTACTAACAAAGAGATAATTAACATGAGTTCATTCTCATGTAATGAATCCGTTACTAATCTCACGGTTGTGACTTCGAATGGAGTGCAGAAATGGCTCTTGTGTCTGTGACATGGTCCTGCAGACACCACTGCATGACAAGAGGGACATTAGAGGTTGGGCTATTATTTCTGAAGAAAAGCCCATTTGTGTCTGCATCAGGACCACATAGCATGTGATGAAGATTTCCTGTCCCAACTAAAATCAGAGCAGCGTTACTGGGCCTACCAAACGCACTTGTGTAGACTTTACAGGAAAGTCCCTACTGTGAAATCATTTGCGGTGTCTCTTCCCCCATTAGTATTTTCTTTCTCCCTTCATACCTTCCTTACTGGTCACCTCTGAGCACGATTAGTGTGAATCTGAGTTTTTGGGATCCTGAGGAAGAGTGTTCTTCTTTTTTCTTTAGATATGAAGTGGCTTCTTTTTCTGTTTATGTCTTCATGTGAACATTCTGGATGGTAAGAATGACAGATTATTGGCTCAGTCACAATTTGCCTTACACATAACCTCACTGCCAATTTTATTAAAAAAAAGATGTCTTCCTTCATGGAAGAAATAAGCATAACTTTGTTGTGGTTTTTAAAAAAACACCCCAAAAAACTGTTTCGTGAACCAAAATCTTTCATAAAAGCAGATACACCTGATTTCTACTTGAGGTCCAGATACTGGACACAGGAGCCTTATTTAACCTACTTCTTACTCTACCCTCTCATGCTGTAACCATCATTTCAGATTATTTCAGGTTGATCTCTAATCTAATGAGAGGTTAGAGCTCTGTTGAGACTAATAGTAGAGAGAGCTCTTTAGGGGCAAAGTAATATTAATAACCATCATCATCTTACTTGGTGCTTTTTTCTTTCATCTTCCAGACTGAGTTATGTTAGAGGATGTTACTCGAGGAGATAATGCTGCACACTTAATGTATTCATACATTATTTCAACCTCAACAGGTCTAATTAACACAAACTTGTTCCACCTTCTTTTTCCTCAGTGATTCTGAATGAGGATAATTAATAATTTGCTAAGACCTCAGAGAACACAGTAGAAAAATAAGAAACTTTAGCAGATTTCATCTCATTCTTGTGCCTGTTTAATGTAAATCTATTGAGAATTCTTTTTTTAAATCACAAAGTACAGTTGAATAAAGAAGAAATGTCAGTTAAATTTTTGTATTATTTTTAAAATTTTAGAGAGAAAACCAGATAACTAGCTTGTCAATGATTAATAGGGGATAGGCAGAAGAATAATTAGTTATTTTGTGGTATATGTGTCTTCTTCAGAGGTTATTTTGATTTAGATAGAAAGATGATGTTAGCATTCTTTAATAGATTTTAGATTCCCTAGGGTAAATTTTACTTTATTGTGTACTTAATAAGACTTTTTTCAATGGTGACAGTGTGTTATCCAAAAGACTGCAGTATTTTAAGTGTAAGTGACTGCTTCACAGTATGATTTAGGGTTTTATTCTAGTTCTCTTACATCCATGCAGAAGCTTGAACTAAAAATTTCATTTTCAAAGATTTGAAGACATTTTTTTCTTTTCTAAAGAGACAACCATCTTGAAGATAATAATCAAGAAAAGAAAAGGTATTAAAAAGTATTATTCTGGTTTATATTGCATTAAAGAAAGCACATTTGATATTACAGACTTTATACAGTTTGTGTTTTTGTGTAGTTTTAGGCCTTGCTTTGTTAGGACACTTTAGGAATAGTGTAAGAGGGTATTCAGGATGAAAGAGGTATTTAGCTTTAGAAGCCAGTCATTGTACATACCTTGCAAATTACCACACTTTTCATCTTGGGTATGCATTGAGAAGTTAATATGCTTCTGTCACTCATACAAATAATGTTAAAACCATCGTGTCTCTGGAGATTTTTATGGCTTACTTATAAAATGCAATGGATTATTTCGGAGGACACAGCATGCAGTATGGGCCAACATGCATTAGAAGGATACACACAAGATCTAAGAAAACATAGTATTCTGCTCAAGGATATAAAGAGTGTCAGATACACAGTACTTAATTAACTCTGGTGGGTGGTGTGTCTCTTTAAGACACTAAAACCTTTAAGAGGTTGGAGAGTTATGATGTCATTAATTAATAACTGACTACATGCTAATCAATACAATAGGTACACACTGTAATGGCTTATAAGCATGGTAGCTTTTTAATGGCTCATGTATAAATGTTAATTGATTTAAAACAAAGGGAAATTTCTGTCTATTGGATCAATAGTTTATGGATTATGACTACCTTTTAGTTTGAGATTGCTACAGCATGCTCCTTCCTCACTCCTTCCATTCTCTGGATTGTCTTTCTATGTTTTTTAATCAGCAATACCTGTAAAGAGGATACATTAGACCAATTATTGGTACTGGAATCCAATAACACTTGTAAAGCCCCAAAGGCTTCTACAAGATGCCACACTAGGGCTTCATGGTAGATTTCTACAATATGGAATATATAGGGGTCTGTGGAAAGTTCTGTATTTACTCCTTTCATACTATTGCATTTTTTCTGTAAAAGATGTGTTATATAAACATGAATCCCTTGATTTATTATCAACAACTTTCTGTTTGTATTTTTTATGCTTAGTGCATGTAAAAAGATAAATAATGAATGTGTTATCTGCCAACATAAATGACCTAAAAGATAAGACCATGGTACTTAGTCTAACATCTAAATTAAGAATCAAATACATTTAGAACAGATTTAATACCCCCCAAAATAAAAAAAGAATTGGTAGATAAAATTTTACCTAGGAAACTCCTATTGGCAAACACAGGAGTTGCTTATAACAGATATTATGAAGACTTAGGAGTTGATTATTGTAATATAGTTCTGTGCTTAATAGAAAAGGAGTATGCAGTTAATTCTTTATCACTCCATACAGCAGTTCTCGCTTCATCTCCTCCTTCAACTGCCATGCTAGCATTTTTTTTTCTGTTTTATTGCTCCATTCTTGGAGGTCTGCTTTGGAATGGGGCCAGTTATCTTTCTTCATTTAGGCAAATTTTACATGAAAATACTAATTTTATATTTGAAGAAACTGGTGGCTTTGGAATAGTATCCTTGTCAGCTTTTATATGAATGTGTATGAAGTTTAAAAAGCCAAATGGTATTACAGGAGGTCTTGTGAAAAGCAGCAGTCCCTTGCCTAGCAGACCTTGGACTCTTCCACAATTCCCCCTCCTCAGGGAAATGCTTTCACTGTTTCTAATTGACTTTTTGTTTTCCTGATGTTTACCCCTGCATTTGAAATAACTTGCTTATACTATAGACTGCTCATTTTTCAGTTTTATATATTGTCTACTGATTTCTTTATATAGAAGATAGGAATTTGACACCTTTATACCTTCATCTTCTTAATAACCTTCTTAGAAAATTTCTTTAACTACAACCTTCTTAGAGAGTTAAGTGTTTATATTTATCTCCTTATTGTTAATCCTTACTCAGACTTTGTATAAATCTCCTCTTGGTATGTTCAAGCACTTCAGATAATTTGCCCAAGAATAGTAGGGAAAATAAAACAAGTCTCTTTTTCTGTGTGTGTGTGTGTGTGTGTGTGTGTGTGTGTGTGTGTGTGTGTGTGTTTGGAGTGGGGTCAGGGGTATAATTTTAAGAGACACACAGAAAAGAACTAGTGAAGGAGACTTAAAAGGAACAGTCAAAGGTATTGGAGGAAGACCAGTAGTAAATGGAAGTCAAAGGAGAGAGTGTCAAGAAAGAGATGGTGAGTAAGTATCAAAAGGCGCAGAGAAATGAACAAAGATGATGACTAAAAACATCCATTAGCCAAGGCTGCCAGGGAATTGGGATCAGAAGCCTCAGTGTCATAAGAAGCAATAGAAAATTTTACGTTATTCATTTGGGAAACTTGTTTCTTAGGTAAAGGAGACACAAGGCAGTTTAAAAATAGCTAGATGTCAATGAAAGACTGCATTCAAAATAATTTTTTGAGATGAAACAAACTTTAGAACACTTCTAGATGAAGGTGTAAATTAGAAAATCTGAAGGTGACCAGCAGCCTCTTCCAACCATGCTTCTTTGAATAATTATATTATAGTTTAATGACATTTTCTCTATTTATATTGTACCATATAATGTTTAAGTGGCTATAAAAGAGTTATCTTACCTTGTCTTCTCTCTTTCTCTCTCTCTCTGTCTCTCTTTCTTTCTCTCTCTCTCTCTCTCTCTCTCTCTCTCTCTCTCACACACACACACACACACACACACACACACACACACACACACACACAAAGCTAGCAATTTAGAAGTTTCAAGGGGGATATATCCGCTTTACAGGCCAAAGCCGGGACTCAAACAAGGCCCCTACTCCTAGTTCAGAGCTCTCAGTACCATCCTGCAGCTGGCCTCTGAATCACTTTTTATCTATCTTCTTTTGCCTCTTGGTTGATCTTTGCTGTTAAGAATTTCCTTTATTCTTACTTTTTTGGCAAGGCTTATCTGTCCGTCTGCCTGCTGGTTTTATTTCCTTCAAATCCACAGCTATATCATGTGTTGACTAACTTCATCACACCATAAAGCTGCTGTTACTATTAAATCATACACAGATCCAGACATTTTGCAATGGAAAGAGATTCCCTACAGTTTCATAACCTATTTTGAGGACATATTTTTGTTTGACTGTCACTAGAAACACCATTATCTTAAACAACATGTGGACTTAGAGCCGTACATCAGGTTAAATGACAAAACCATTTTATGTAATTGGTGTTTAACATGGGTACTGATGATCTTTTGGTGCTAAGCTCAACCTGAAAATCTCACTAGGAATATATTTACCTCTCATTTAACTTTTTAAAAATGACTTTGGTCAACCAGAGCATGAATGGTTAGTTTATAAATTAAGTAGTGGAAATCAGTGATGGTTTTCAGTCATATAATTATTAATGAAAATATTTGATGATGTGTAGCTTTCTGGAGTGCATGGTGATACATTCTTCACTCACTCACTCATTCATTCAGTCAGCCCACGAAAATTTCCTGAGAGTTTACTATGTGCCAAGAATTATGCCAAATGTATTTCTGCCTCCAAGAAGGTCTTAGTCTTATAAGAGAAACAAAGGAAGCAGGAAGTTGGATTTTAGAAAAGTTTGGGAAGTCACAAAAGGGCTTTGAGCAAGAGAGCCACATAATTCAATCAGTCTTTTAGAAACCCTAATCAGGAGGATGGATTGGTCACAAGACTGGAAAGCCAGGTGAGAAACTGCTCGAGCTGCAGCTAACATTATGTGGATGGGTGAATAGGAGGAAAGATAAGACAGACATTAAGAGAGAATCACCTGAGCTTGATGACAAATGTGGAAGAGAGAAAGAAGCCTTGTGAAATATGATGGCTTCTTAGTAATACCTCTTGTGAATTCCCAGAACGAATGTGCTGGGATGTACTCTATGGTAATCTGAACAGCTGTTTTGTATACATAGAAGTATACACACACACACACACACACACACACACACACACACACACACATGATTAATGAATTTCTGAATGACAATAACAGTGTCCAGTTAGCTAAAATATGTTAAATCCAATATTTTAAATCCAAAAATTTGCAAATTACTGTTGTGTTATCTAATGATACATATATATATATATATTTGAGATGGAGTTTTGCTCTTGTTGCCCAGGCTGGAGCGCAGTGGTGTGATCTTGGCTCACTGCAACATCCACCTCCCGGGTTCAAGAGATTCTCTTGCTTCAGCCTCCTGAGTAGCTGGGATTACAGGCGCACGCCACCATGCCCAGCTAATTTTTTGTATTTTTAGTAGAGACAGGGTTTCATCATGTTGGCCAGGGTGGTCTCGAACTCCTGACCTCAGGTGATCCACCCTCCTTGGCCTCCAAAGTGCAGGGATTACCAGGTGTGAGCCACCATGCCTGGCCTATCTAATGATATCTTTAGCACTGCTGGATACCTAGATTAAAAAATCCTAATCTCCATCTGTATTTATGGCTGATGATTAATCATATGCAAATGCTGATGTAAATCTGAAGTGAACTTTCTTGCTATTCTGTGAAGCAGCAATGCTTTGAATGATCAGGGATGCTCTGCCCCATGTTTTGGAAATGTATGTAAAGATATATTGATATATATATTGGACACTTTCTTTCTTTATCCACGTATAATATTTGATCCTAGAAATGGAAGTTTTTCATAAGTTATAACAATGTGAATATTTCAAACTCATCAAAAATTAAAAAAAAACCCCTCACTTTCTAAACTCTAAGCAATTGACCTTGGCATCCTGAAAACTGAACCAGACAATTATATTTGGTTTCTGCATCTTTGAGAATAGAATGACTTTTTAAAATTTCTTAGAGATGAAAGTATTCGTATTTTTTGTTTGCAAACTTAATAAATGCTCATTACAAGCAACAGAGAATTAAATTAGAAATATATAAAATGGAAAATGAAAAGTGCCTTACAATCTGCCATAATCTCATCACTAGAAACAGTAATTAAAGTTTAGGGTGTATCTTCCAGATATACAAGCATACATATTTTTAATATTACCAAATTATACATAGTTTTTCATAACCTGCCTTCCTTAATAGTGTGTCATGGTTTGTCATGGGCATCTTTCTAATCAAATATATAGACAGCTGTTTTTCTATTGTGTTTTTAGTTGTATGTATGTATAATTTATTTAGCCAGTTCCTTATTATTTTTCCCCAACATTATTTTCAGCTGACAAATAATGTTGCTATGAATATTCTTTTACATATATCTTTGTATATTTTTCAATTTTTTCCCTTTGATACATTTCTGAAACAGAATCATTTAGTTAAGGTTGCACATATTTTAAATTTTAGTAGATATTTTCAAATTAATACCTAGAAGTTGTACTATCAGCTAAATTCCGGAGCAAACCTTTTCACATACTGTTACCTACCTTGGTATAATAAACTTTTGATTTTTTTTCTCTATCAGAAAGGAAAATAAATTCTTGTGACTATGTTAATCTGAAATTCTTTTATTTTAAATATAATGCTGTGTATCTCTTATGTTTATTATCCTTTAAAATTTTCTCTCTTATAAATTATTGTTAAAGTTCTTTGCTAATTTTTAAATTATGTTATTTATTATGTATTTATTGATTATTAAAAGCTCTTTGTATAGTGAAGTCAAACTTTTTCTTGTCATTTATGATTTGGAGTTTGCTAAGACCTCCTCTGCCAAGATTATAAGCAGAGTAATTTTTAATTAAAAACAAAAAACTAGGGATAAAAGGTCAAGTGAAAAATAAAAAGTAATTAGGGATTTATTGACAAAAACATACGCAATTGGAACAGATGTAGAATGGTCTCTAGAGAAGGAGAAACTTGCTCAATTTCCAAACAAAATAGAAATGAGAACTGGAATATAAATTGGATGAGGCGAGTAACCTCTGTCTTGTTCACTGCTGTGTCCCCCCATGGCAGCACTCAGAACACAGAAGTTGCTCAATAATATTTTTGGAAATAATGAATGAATGTATACATCTAAGCTTATATATAAAAGAATACATGAAAATTTGAATTAATAAAGCTCTAAAAATCAGTATGACTTCTACAGTTACTGAGAAGATAGGCAACACCACCATTACAAAGGCAACTTTACTCATCACTGTGGAACTGGTAGTGGAAGGTTTCAAATTCCTTTGTTTATTGAGGCATTGGTCGAAGATTCCCAGTCTTCCTGTTTGTGAGGACACTAAATTTGTTCCTTTTATACACTTAATCTTAGAATAATATAACTCCTAAGGAGCTTTGGAGAATTGGAAAAGAATCAACACTATGCTATGGAGTCATGGAAAAACTGGGCTGGTCATTAGAATATTTATGATTTTGTGATTTATTCCCAAATGATGACAAAATTGTCTTCATTTAGGATTCTTGAACACGTTTCAATATTTGACAAAAATGTGCACTGTAAAAAGTATAGAAGTTTATCTAAAGAATTAACTTACTTTTAGAAAAGGCAAGTGAAAGAATAACTTTGTTTTTATCTTAACCCACTGTTTTGTTATCTTATTATTATACATATTTGTGCCTAAATTCTGAGTTCCAACTTATGAAAAAATAGAGTAACATTCCTTGTTTTGTTTTTATGTTTTTCTGTTTCTGACTTTTCTTGAATGATAGAAAATAGCTTTTTATAGGCTGTGTTCTCTAGCATGTTTTCCCTGAAAGAATAATCTATTTTTATTAGTATAATAGCTAATTTTAATTCTATGTGAGAGAAACCCCTTTTACTTTATATGGTATTTTATATAGTAATGTTTATTTTCTATACAAACTCGCTAGGATGTTTTATCTGTTTTATATCCCATTGAATTCTCCCTGAAACTGCACTAGTTTACAATAATTTTATTACTTTATTAATTAAACGTTTTCCAACAAGCTAGCTATGGCATTTCTTATCATCAAGGGTTCCATTAGTTTTTAATGGTGTGAGACAAAATTACCATTTACCCACACGCAATTTAAGAAGCATCATTAACACAGGAAAAGCACCAGGTGGGATTTCTAATAGTTACTGTTTCTCATTTTTGTTTTTATTTAAAAGGAATCACTGGTTTTGAGGTTTTGTTGCTATATTGCCAAATCTTCACTTGGATTTTATGATCGAGATAATTTAAAATAATGTTCTTCTATTTCCTTAGGCACTATTCAACAATATTTTACTTATGTGCACACAGCTTCAGTCTAGCACTTTTTTTCTACACAGTCGAGTGAGCGTTGTCTGCACAGACAACAGAACAAAGACGGATCTTCACAAACTCCATCAGATAGTTCGACCAAGGGTTTGGCAGTGCCAGTGGTTTGGCCATAAACTGTCTCTGTTTTCAGAGAAGTACGAACACCAGGACTAAAAAGATCCAGGGGTCCTGGAAACCAAAATAAACTCTAGGACTCTTGCAAAGTAGACACTCGTTAATTTTTTTCCTGCAGATCATATGAACTCTTTCCAAGAGTTCACATGTCATACGGTAGATAATGCTTATCCTCTTGCGGACTGGAAAGTACTCATTCCTGTAAAATGAATGTAAGAGAACCAAGCAGGAATATTCAGGCTGCGAAGTTTGTAATAACACAGATACTCTCAGAAGATTGGGAAAATACTGATATCTTGTAATTCAGTGTATTGTAAAACATATAGAACATAATACAAACCCCAATTGCCTATAAACCCTCACTAAAAGAGGCCTATTCATTTAAGTCTTCAGAAAAATTCGTATCAGCCATTAACAAAAAACAAAACAAAACAAAACCCAGATTTGCAGAAAGGGGTGTTACAAATCTATTTTGGGCAATTATTTCAGCTTTTGCTTTTATTGGACAGTTACTGTTCTGGCATATAAAGGAACTGGGATAGAGAAGGAAAATCAGTTTCACAAAGTTAGGGTTTGGATAATACTTAAACTCTTGGACACAAAATAGAAAAATTTAGTAAAACTGATTAGTATTTCAAGATTTTTTTTCATGCAAGGGTAGGATATATTAAACAATAATTTACTCACTTGTCTCAGGAAAGGCAGATTAAAACATCTTTAATCATCTCCTAGAATATGTTCTATGAATTGTGTTATACCTGAATAATCTGCTGCAAAAAATTAAGGGAAACTGTTGACCTGATAATATCACCTTCATGTCTCCTTTCTTTCAAGTGGTTTCTAAATGAATAGATGGATATTTTGAATTTAGTACATTGCAGGGGAACGCTGTTTAATCTACTTTCAAATAGAGTGGTTTATTTTGAAAGATTTTTTTATGTGACTGTATTAAATATTAACTCAATTTAATAAATATTGATAATTTATTATAGGTTTGTTGTACAATAAGTATTATATATTGCTTAGTACACCACATTACATAAAAAATTTGTTTCATTACAAAGAGAATTGCTCTAATAAGGGAGTTTTAAGCAAAAAGTGAAGAGAAAAAATATGAATATAATAAAATATTCTAAAAGTGGACATTTTGATACATAAGAGTTTACTTTTTAAGAGTAAGATATTTTATATTAAGCCAACTCTATACTTCCCTCTTATACCAATCTACATTTTTAGTTAATTTCTGTATAAATAAGTGTCTGTAAACAGAAAATACTCAAGCTTATTTACAACAGTATTGTATTTGTGGCTTTTTTTTTTGTCTGCACAATGATCATATGGTAGATGGTTCTGTTAATAACATATATCAATTCTATATTTGTGTTTCTACAAAAGGAAAAAAATCAAAGTAATCAATGAGCTTCTGGGTTGCATTTTCTCTGTAGTATTCGTCTATTTTGAATTCCACCTGCATCGGTTATTAAAATTTAAATGTGTCACTTTGTCCATCACTTTGAATGAGAAATGTTATTTGGATACATTTCTTTCAGCATTGGTGTATAGGAAGAATTATTCTATTAATTCTTCTCTGGAACAATTATCACATAGTTTGTTGAAGAAGTTGCATTTTATTTGGCTGGCACTTATGAACACTAGATTTGCAGGGATCCAGTAAAACATTTTTGGTGCTGCTGGATTCCTGGTGTTTGTTCTATCTCCATTCAGTATGCTTTTATCGTGCTCGAAGCTGACAGAAAATTGCTGTAGCCAATCACCAAAAAGTGCTTATTTTTTTATGATGTTTTATTTTCATTGCTCAACATTAACATAATGAAACTTTAGATTTTTCTATTAAAACAATGCAGTACATGTGAAGTGTCATGATGAATGACAATTTCTTCTGATATACATTTTGGTGCCTGTAAAATAAAGATTGACATTAGAGCTTCCTGGATTGTACACTCTCCAATTTTATTTAGAGGCTTTATGAAAAGCAAACACATACTACACATGCACACACATACACACACACACACACACGTGTATGTTTAAATAGTATTCCTCACCAAAGGAAAAATAATAATTACTTTTTAGTGCATTGTTTTTTATATCATTCAACATCTATTAAACTTCCATTGCCAGAAAAAAAACTAGGCCTTACTCTTTTGAATTGATATCTTCCACAGAATGGGATTCCTGCAATTTGTGATTTTATGTCTTTGTAGATTCTCACAGGCAGCACACTTGGTATGGGATTTTTTGGAAGCAATAAACCATTAATAAAATGCTTTAATTTTATTTTGTATGGATAGCATCAGGTTTGTGAACTATAAACAATTTTTTGAGTTTGCCTATGATGAGGTTTAACTGCTTTTGTTTTGAACCATTTTAGTAATTTAAGACATAAATATTATATCTTAATAAATTAAGATATAATAATGGTTATGTGATTAGGCAGGAAGAGGTGTGTCATGAAAGTCTAAAATTAAAATCCAGACTTTGTGGAATGAAACTTTGAGACAAATAAGTGGTAGATGTCAAAGAAAAGAGGCATAAGCGTTAGAGGGATGAGGACCTTAAACTTTTGCTGTTACATAGCACATCCCTTGTTTTCTGTATGCATAGTTTGGGAACGTGATTACACACTTTCCAGAGCAGGGCATATTCAAGAGGAGGAAAAATCAAAGTGGTTTAGATAGAAAGGGCTTTGAAATGAGGCACCTCTTGTTTCCTGTCTTGTCTCCAATATCTGTAAGTGATCTTTGGCAAGTCATTTCACCTCTCAGACTTGGTTAACTTTTCTCATCTGCAAACAGAAAAACAGGTTCAACTGTTGTAAGGTTCAAATGGGACAAAACAACAATAATTCTTGCCACAGGGCTGGGCACACAGTGCTAGTCAATGAATGGCTACTATTTCATAAGACATGTTTGTAGCTCCAACTCTCAGGAAAAACATAGTGATCAATTAGGTGACTTGGTTTGTGACATTTATTTGTGTATTGAATTCAATTACAGAACCAAAATTTTGATAATTACATCTATTATTCTTGGAAATAACGACTGACATTTATTGAGTATTTACTATGTGCCTGGCATGGTGCGCAGCATGTGTGCCTTGATGCACCCGGTACACACACACACACACACACACACACACACGCTCTCTCTCTACTAAAATCTATAATCTCATTTTATTGTCTCCCAACATCTATTATGTAGCTACAACTTTATCACCATGTTAAAGATGAGCAATTGCAGGCCAGAGAGATTAAGTCTCTTGTCCAACATCTGATAAAAGCAGGATTCAAATCCAGGTAGTCCCAGAGTCCACATATTTAACAATGAGGAAAAAAGTGCAGACTGAATGTAAAATAAACACAAATAATTCATTTCAGCGATGAGTCAACAAGAAGTTTACAGCACTGAGAAAGACGAGTCAACAACAGAAGGAAGAAAAATCCAGAGAAAATGGTACTTGGTGCATTGGAATGAAAGATAATCTGCAGAAGGTAAATGGACAGGAGAGATGTTCATCATTTTAATTTGCAATGATCATGATTTATATTAAAGTTTCTCTTCTCTGAGGCTCAGTTTTGTCAGCTGAAAATGAACTTGTTGGACAATTGAACTCTAAGGTGCCTTCTCTGGTTCTATTCTACATTTCTTCGAGTTCTTATCAGCTACCAAGAACACTTTCCACTTTTCCATGTGTGGTTCAGAGAAGATCCCAAATAATGTTTGATCATCTCTAGTCATATCTCAGAGCTGTCAGTTGATAACTGACTCCACTACCTCAGTATCCATTTTCCAAGATGTTAAGAGGAGTTTGGTGGTGCTGGAGCAAGGAAGAGACTAAGAAACTTGGAGACCAAGGGGACCTCTCATTAGCAGTGGAAGCGAATATCGACATATGTCAGCAGAATTCTTTCTCACATGGAAACTCTTCTGTGAATATCCAACAAATAAATCCATGTTAATGGAATCTTCTCATATTTAATATATTAAACTAGTAACCTAACATTTCCTACTGAGAATTGATGGATTGGCTAAAACAGAATATTTTAGCCCCATTTGAATGGTTAGCTTAAGTCTCTGCCCAAAAAAAGTGTGGTAATCAAAATCTTATCCATTGAAGCAGCCTGTTTTTTGAGATTTAATAGCAGCCTCAGAAATTGGACGTTTTATTTTGTCTGCACAAGCTGTGTCACAAAAGATGGCGACACAGTGACAGACCTTGTGAACGTGGAGCCTGGAGCTTGGAGGAAGGGGCACTCAGTGTGTTCCCCACAATCAGGTAAGGGATGTAGTGAAATGGACCCAGAGTCACATAACTTGGGCTCAAGGTCTGGGCCCAATCTTCAAGAGTATCTCTAAGCCAAAGTTTCCCAACACGGTGATAATTCGTGGCATGTGCTATGAGGTAACACATGGTATCACATACTGTCCCGAAGAGTGAGACGATGTCATGGAAGTGCCTTGTAAACTGTAAATCACAGACGTTAAGTGGTTCTGTGGCTGGCTTCATTGTGAGAGGGCTTAGGTGAAGGCATTTTTACACAACAATAGCAGCATTGCCAAAATAAAATCTGCATAAAAGCAAAATAAGTATTCATAGAGATCTATGGGCATAAATAACAAAACCACTTGCATCAGAGTGTAGTGGAATTTAAGTGCTGGAGAGGTTATATGGGATCAAAGAGGAAAGATAGCAATAAAGTCAGCCAAGGTACATTTCTGTATCTACTAAGTTATCTTAACATTTTAAAGGATTGGAACTGTGAGGAATGAACTAATTGATGGATTTTTGGAAAACAGAAATGTAGAAAACACAATTACACTGGAAAGTGTTGAACATTTTAAATACCTGAAATTCTAAATGCTTAACTACATACTTATAATACAAATTGCCATGAACGTTACTTATGATTATGGTAGAAATTACCTTAGAACATATTACTGTCTTCCTTGTACCTTGAATAACTATCTTAAGCACTCAAATAGAAGTCAGGTAATATATTAGCTCATCTCATTGGTGGACTTTACTGGTCAAGTATCTTAGATAATATTAAGCAAAGAACCAAAGTGACTTATAGCAGAGTTTCTTGGTGCTATTGACGTTTCGGACCATGTAACTTTGTGGTGGGGGTATCCTATGCATTGTAGGATGTTTAGCAGCATCCCTGGTCTCTACTCACTAGATGTCACTTATACCTCTCAGTTGTGACAACCAAAAATATTCCTAGATATTGACAAATGTCCTCTGGAGGGAAAAAATCATCCTCGTTTGAGAGTTACTGCTCCACAGTGACAACCTTCAGCTTTCATGACTCAGAATTCCAAAAATTTCTAGGTTATTAAAATTAGAGATATTATATTATAAAGAATAAATGTGTAGACATTTAAATGCTTTGCATTGCCAACATTTTGCATTTAACTCTTACTCTTTTTTTCTTTGGTTTTGTTAGGAAGGTGCACTATTCTCTCTATGGTTAGACAAGGTACTTCTGAGGGACTAGGTTGTATGTCTTTTTGTCTTGTAGCTCTGCAGTCTTACATTTTCATCTACCTTCTGTGTTTTAATATACGTTCTCAGGTGCCTCCCAAAGTAGATAGAAATTGTGAGTGCTAGTGAGATAGCCATGCTTGGCTGTCTCACGAGCACTTTGAAATGATTTTGTCCCATCCAAATTCATCCACATCTGCATCTGCATCTACCTCTGACCTCCTCTGTTTTTTCTCCCTCGACTGATTGATTGATTGATTGTTGTTGCTAGCTCACTGTCTTCCATATACCCAGGTACCTCTTAGGGTCAAATTTATTTCCTTGTAAGTCCACAGCCTCTCCCTAATTATTCATTTGAACAACACTCTCTCTAAGAAACGCCCCTCCCCACTTCAGACTTTTCTGGGGCAACTATTATTACCTTCCACCTGCCCTTCCTGCCTCTGGTCTTTCTATGTAAGGTACATTTTATTCTGTTACATTAATATCCCTGAAGCATTCCCATCCCAACAAATTTTTTACCCTTCTAGGGACTAACTCTTATTTCTTCAATCCTATATCTTACCACCAGAACTAAAAATAATTTCTCTGTATCCTGCACTTCTTTAGGACTTCATCTCTTAATTTCTTCAAATAGTGTCCTTTGATCTAAACCTTTTTTTGGTGTGTGTTTTTGATAATTTAGACTAACATTTGAAAAAGAAACACATATCCCCTTTAATGTTCAGCGTATATACAGGAACCTGAGAATCTAGAACTTAAGTACTCTAAAGTTACTTTAAAGATTATTTTAAAGAACTACAATATGCAGATGGTTATAAAATACTTTACATGGAATTCATGCATCCCTGATGTTGATACTGTTTATTTTGCTTCTTGGAATTTAACATACAGCAGCCTTCTTTACCTCCTCATCTTATGGTGGGACATGAATATGTAAATGTAGTTTCCATATTTAAAAAAATTGTGCGTAAGTCTTAATCTGCATTCCACTTCAGTGGGTCTTACAAATACTTGCTTAAGAGAGGCTGACTCTACAAAGGTCAGATAGGGTGGTAACATAGAGAATGAGAGAGAGACATGATTATTTAGTGGCACTTATTGCCACAGGCACTGGTCCATTTATTGGAGTAGAGTGAGCACATATTGAACATGTTGTTTGCCATCAAGAATGCTGAGCAGTTCCATGGGAGAAGGTCTTGGCTTGAGCCCAGGTTGATAGTAAATGTAGGTCAATACTAGTTGATGTCTGTTTGATGGTCTGTATGAAATGAGTTGGTGGTCTCAGTCCAGTTATTAGAAGACAGGTGTCTACATCTCAGAACATCATGACAATTGGCACTAATTGGCATCTTTGTTGGGAATCTCAGCAGAGAAGCAGAGGAATAAATGGGGGAAAAGGAAAAGCTGTTGTTACCCAAGATAAAGAAGTCTTTGGGGATATAAGCAGAAAATAATTATGTACTGCTCAAAGAATAGTATTTTCAGAAGATGACATTTCCAACATTGACAGGACTTTTTTCAGTTATTTGTCCATCATCTGTCTCTTACCTTCCTTTCCATTCCCACATCTTCTTGCATTTTGGAACTGGACATTTGGTCCCACTTTCTCCTTTCTTATCTCAGGGAACATGTTATGGGATGAAAACCTCTGCTTGGGTATCTACTATATTCTTTCATCAATTCAACCTCAGACTTCATGTTCCTGGTTTCTCCCAGGACTTATGATACCTCAGTTTTCATGCACATAGAAGAGCTGAGCATGTTGGTTCAATTGTTACCTGTTAATGAATTTTTCTTCTGTGCTGTACTTTACTTGGTGATACTGGGATACACGTCTCTTACACTCTGCTGTCTCCCTCACTGTTCTGAGCTTTCTGGGGTAGGACCCTTGCTTGATTCATTTTAACATTCCCGCAGTGCACATATCAGGTACTCAGTAAATGAATGAAAGAAACAATGAATAAATGAATGAATGCATTCTTAGCCTTTGGAGACACATACCCATATCTAGGAGTGAAGTGAAAAGTAAATATGAAAGAGACCGAGTCTAAGAGACAGAGTGGCAGGAATTCATCATTCTCTTCTACTTGGTGCCTTTGACATTCTCCCACTCTCATTTTGAATGGTTGCTTAGTGTTCTAATCTATGCAAGCCATCTTATACAATTGCTTTGTAATCGGCATAATTCAGCTTTCTAGCTGAGGAGCCTGCTCCGATGTGTGTCTATAAGGAGGATTCCGTGTTCTCTGTTAGAGTTTATAATTTCACCACTGCTATATCCAGTGTTTTTCATTGCAT